GGGGGGGGGGGGGGGGGGGGGGGGGGGGGGGGGGGGGGGGGGGGGTGCAGTACACGAGGCCCCCGGGCTATGAGCTATGCTTGTGGCGTTACCGTCTTTGCTTCGCCACCTACTAATTATATCATGACGTCGATGTTGGCAATGCACAACGCTGTTCGAGTGGACGCTTGTTGTCACGACATGCCCGTGTGTCGTTGATGTGTTCTGGAACTCTCCCCCCTCGCACAGGCCCTAGCGGTGGCGGCGGCGGCAGTCGTGCCAAGGGAGCGCGTGCCGCACAGAAGATCAAGCTGCTTTACGTCACGCCGGAAAAGCTCGCCAAGGGCGGCAGGCTTACCACGGCTCTCGCTGGACTGGCGAAGAGGTATGGGGGGTAGCGGTGGAGCCATCGCTGGGAGATGGAGGTCTTGTTGGTCTCGCCTCTGTGCGTTCGCCATTCAACAGAAGCATTCGGCGCTCGTTTCCACCCACTCGCAATTGAATATGTCGCAGGACTTGGTCTACTTTTGCTTTTGAGCGGCCGACGGATGCACGATGTTTTTTTTTTTTTTCGTACCACAGATTCGCGTGACGAGACAACAGAGTATCTATCTGGAGCGTGTTTTCCTCCCTCCCTCGACAAACACGAAGGGAATCAATCAGCAGCAACTTTTGCGGTGGATGGCAATCGAGGCTGTGGCAATTCCGCAAAGAATGCGGCCAACACAGACAACATTTCTCCTGCACACAATGTAGGCATCTCTCCTTGTAAATGCCGATGTGACAAACAACAACGGCGTGTCTGGCGCTTGTTTATCCCTTGCCGAAACCATGCGCTGAGAGTGATCCTGGTGTCTGCAGAGCTGCTCGAAGGGTTTGTGGTACTCTCCTTCAGAGGTACATAGTTTTACTCCCGGACCCTTGTCGTAGATGGGTGGAAAATATCGCTGCTCCATGTGCAATATCACCGGTAGGGGCAAGGTATGCGCGAAAACAACCTCCATACAGTATACGCTTTGCCTCCCTCGGCAAATACCAGGGGGTTGATCAGCCTTCTGGCGGTGGACGAGGCCCACTGCGTCAGCACCTGGGGGCACGACTTCCGACCGGCCTACCTCGAGCTCGGCGCGTTTCGCAAGAAGCACCTCAAGGGTGTGCCCTGTCTCGCCCTCACCGCAACCGCCACGGAAGAGGTGCGTGTTCGGGTGCGCGCGTGGCGCGTGCTTTTGCGTTCTTGGTGGTTGCGATTAACGCCGACTTTAACTTTTGATTGGGCAAGGCTAGAGGTAGAGACGTTCTTAAGGTTATAGGGAAAACGCGGTGCCAGCAAAGGGTGGAAAAAGTTGTGCTGAAGGTTGTGGAAAGGGCAACGCCAGCAGCAGCGGCCGATGGCAACGGCCACTGCATTTCGTGTTTTGAGGCCTCCCGATTTCTCTTGACAGGTCTCTTCACATGAGTCCGTGTAATTCCATATGGGGGGAGACGACGTTAGTTCGTTACAGTGGAGGTCCCTGTGTGGTGCCAGCGGAATAGTGCCAATTCTTTTGAATAGTACCGGTCCGCTATTGTGCCGGGGAATTTTCTGGGCACATGCCGGCACAAAACAGGGACCCCCTCCGAAGCCACACAACCGCAGGCATTGAAACAATCTAGTTGGAAGCGTCAAGCCTCATCTTGGCAAATGGCATCAGCTTTCACACAGCTTTTTATTCGGAGCATGGAGTTGCAAAACATGCTGCAAGTCTTTTTGCAACTTTTGGTCGGGAGCTTTTGTCAACGGATTTTTTTGTGCACGCTCTTTGTGGGAAGAAGAAAGTTTTGTGCACGGGACTGGCGGAATGCGGAGGCGTGGCCTTTCATGTTTTTTTTGTTGTTGCAACGGCTAGAAGCAGGCACACCCCTTCGTACCTCACCGCCAAGAAACCGTCCAGAGCATGCGGGAGAGGGTAGTTGCAACCTTATCCCGCCAAGGCATCTGACCTATTACCAGAAAGATGCGGAGTAGAGCTACCTCCCTCGGACTGGTATTGTTGTTGCTGTTGCCTCCTCCTTCGAAAACTTATCCCTGGAAAACCAAACCATGAGCACACAATCCCCGCGAACTTGAACGAACCGCTCTCTGACGTGGGTGTTTTAAGGTCAACCAATTTTTTTTTTCCCGACGCGCACGATACTCCACGGTACCAATCCTTGGGCATGAAATATGGAGCAGAGAGGTCCTCCTGCCGAGTGGCCTTGCTATTGCTGCTGCTTCCCCCTTCGAAATGGTTCGGTGGAAAACCACACCCGTGGCGGTCGAAAACACCGAACTGGAAATAACCGCTCGCGGCTGTTGACGGTCGCACGTCAGCACAACTTTTTCCCGGCGCGTTCGGCACCTCACGGCGCCAAACCTTGGCATTGCCCAACAGCCCATGACATCACCTCCGTACGGGAAACATTCATGAGGCAACTCGTTTAGTATTCGTGGAGATATCGGTGAACACGGCCTTCCCAATCGAAGCTGGAGAGGGCGTCTACGCGTGTGGTAGGGGTAGCAGCTGGACGTGGATTGGCGGAAGTCTCGCCGCGCAACTTTTGTTCGACACCTTCGTCGCGAAAAAAAGTTCCAGAACGTTTTCACCATATTGCAGTTTTTTTCTCCAGAGAAAAAGTTGCAAAACGTTTTGCGCAGCGTTTTGCTCCCATAATGGGCGTACATGAGAAAAATTGCAAAAAAGTTCGGGGACTTCAGCTTTCTTTCAACTTCGTGCTCCCATAAAAGGCGGTGTCACGAGGGTGTGATGTTGGCCTGTGGTGTTGCTGTTTCGCGTACGGTATCGCCCTTGCTTGATCTTGTTGTCGTCGCTGCTGTTGTGGTTGCTTGACTCCTTGCCCTGCTGCTGTGGCTGCTGTTGCTGTGTCTGCTGTTTGTTGTGGCTGTGATGGCTGGAGAGTTACCGTAGTCGCCGCGATTATCTCGTTGTTGCTGCTGATGCTACTGCTGCCGTTGCTGCTGCCGCCCTCCTGCTTCCCTTAGGTGTGCGCGGACATCAAGAAACAGCTCGGTTTCCGCGAGGGATCCCGCGTGCTCAAGACCTCCTTCAACCGCGCGGAAATCCACCTCTCCGTCCACTACAAGGTGCGTTGGAACTCAGCCTCGCTTCTTGCGCGCAAATACATGGGTATGGTCGTTCAGAATATTGTTTGAGACATGTGCGATTATCGCGCAGAGTTTTGAATATTGAGCACCTGTATCATGTTTGTAGTATAAAGGCGGAGTGAACTCATGACCTTTGCTTGAAAGCGTCGTGCATGGGGAGCAACGCTGTTGTTTTTTTGGCGTCGTCAAGCCATTTTTCAAAACTAACGATGCCATCCGGCGGTTGAAAACACGTCGTGCTTTTGGTAGTGCGCACAACATATCCGCTGGAGTTTCAAGTCAGTGCTGACTTGTAGGCTGTATGTTGCGCACTTAACAGTTCGATGACATCCACCAACGCGGACGAACGGCCGAACACGTCATATGCATTTTACGTATGCATATTCTGAAAAAAAAACTGCGAAATCAATCGCACTCTCGCTGAGATTGAACCCATGGCCAGAGGGGTGAACGCTACACGTGCATGTGTCGAAATCATCTACGTCAACATTGAGTAATACTGGCAGCAACCATACCTCTGGAGCAGCATTTCCTTGACGTCTTTGGGAAGCACCGGTCAAATACTGGACTAGTGTACTGTTTCTTGCTGTTTAGCGGTGTCAGGAAGATGAGGAGGCAAACCGCGGGTATTAACTATTTAGGAATTTTAAGGTTGGGCCGGTAATCACCAATCAGCAGCAATATGTGAGCTTGAGAGCACAGATTTCCGTGACCTGACCCAAGTCCGGGTATGGAGTCGGTGGCGTAAGATTGCGGTTGTTGACTGTGCGGTAAAGTGGTATCCTATCGTGGGACCGCTCGAAGGTAATGTTGGTCACTTGCGGTGAAAACGGGCCAGACGAGGTGACCGGTGCTGCTCGGAGGGTGATCGCTCGCGGACCCCATTTTTGCATTTTTCCCTCTCATTCTTTTTTTTGTCTTTCTGTTTCCGCGCCCAGGAGCAAATGCTGGTCGCTCCGGTGGTTTAGTGGTATCCTCGAAAACCGCTAGTCGCAAAGGTCGTGAGTTCGAATTCCCATGGGGTGAAAAATTTACAAAAGTTGCGGGTTGTTGTTGTTGTTATTGTTGTCTTCACATTAATAATCATTCCATTCTCTCTGCCCAGTACCTCCTTCTGTCCGTTCTAGTCTAACACTTGACGGGGTCGATTCCCGCGGTCACAGCTACCTTACCCAAAAAAAGGTATACGATTATAAAATGGACCCGCAGGGTCCGCAAGCCAGTAAAAGTCAACGACGGATAGTCTAGGCCACTCCGCTCGCCTCTACATGCTATGCGAGCTACCCTAGGTTGGAAAAAGATAGAAAAGAAGAAAAGGGAAAATGAATAGAAAATAATAATACTAAGAAGAAAAGGAAGTAAACAGATGGAGATAAGGGAAAGAGAAGGAAAAAGACACAGACAGAGAGAGACACACGCCGTAGCGACAAACAACAAACAAACAGAGCAACACAATACAACACAACACAAAGCGGGCCACTCGAGCCAGCCCATACACGTCATCGCTCGCGGGGGGTTGGTGCAATGGTGTAGTGTCGGGGGGGGGGGGCGTACTCTGC